AAGGCTGAGGTCCTTAATGCCTTCTTTGCCTCAGTCTTTAATAATAAGGTTAGTAGTTCCCAGGTGAGCTGGCCTATGGTGTCTGAGAGCAGGGAGGGAGAGCAGATCAAAGCTCCTGTGATCCAAGAGGAACGGGTCAAGGATCTGCTTCACCAGCTGGATACCCACAAGTCTATGGGGCCTGATGGTATCCACCTGAGAGTCATGAGAGATCTGATGGATGAGAGATCAGGAGACATTGCCAAACCCCTGTCCATTATCTTTGGGCAGTCTTGGCTCACTGGGGAGGTTCCGCTGGACTGGAGGCTGGCGGATGTTACCCCCATTTACAAAAAAGGGCGGAAGGAGGATCCGGGGAACTACAGGCCTGTCAGTCTGACCTCGGTGACGGGCAAAGTCATGGAACAGGTTATCTTGAGTGCTATTAATGAGCACATACAGGTTAACCGGGTGATCAGGCCCAGTCAACATGGGTTTATGAAAGGCAGGTCTTGCCAATCAAACCTGATCACCTTCTATGATGGGGTGACTCGCCTGATTGACGAGGGAAGGGCTGTGGATGCAGTTTTCCGTGACCTCAGTTAAGCCTTTGATACAGTGTCTCATAGTGTTCTGATTGAGAAACTGGTAACTGCTGGCCTGGATAGGCACACCCTCCTTTGGGTTAAAAACTGGCTGAATGGCCGGGCCCAAAGAGTGGTGGTAAATGGGGCTAAATCCGGCTGGAGGACGGTCACCAGTGGGGTTCCCCAGGGCTCAGAGCTGGGTCCGGTTCTGTTTAACATCTTTATCAATGACCTGAATGAGGGGATTGAATGTACCCTCAGTAAATGTGCGGACGACACCAAGCTGGGAGGCTGTGTCGATCTGCTCGAGGGTAGGGAGGCCCTTCAGAGGGATTTGAACAGACTGGATCGTTGGGCTGAGGCCAATGGCATGAGCTTTAATAAGGCCAAGTGCAGAGTCCTTCACTTGGGGTATAAAAACCCCAAACATCGCTATAGGCTCGGGGAAGAGTGGCTGGAGAGCTGCCTGGCGGAGAAGGACCTGGGGGTGTTGGTTGACTACCGGCTTGATATGAGCCAGCAGTGTGCCCAGGTGGCCAAAAAGGCCAATGGGATACTGGCGTGTATCAAGAATAGTGTGACCAGCAGGAGCAGGGAAGTGATCCTGCCCCTGTACTCGGCACTGGTGAGGCCGCACCTGGAATATAGTGTCCAATTTTGGGCCCCTCGCTTTAAGAGAGATATTGAGCTCCTGGAGCGAGTCCAAAGAAGGGCGACTAAACTGGTCAAGGGGCTGGAAAATAAAACTTATGGGGAGCGGCTGAGGGAGTTGGGGCTGTTTAGCCTGGAGAAGAGGAGGCTGAGGGGAGACCTGATTACAGCCTACAAATACTTGAGAAGGGATGGTGGGGAGGTGGGGGAAGGGCTCTTTACATTAGTGATGGGTGATAGAACAAGAGGAAATGGGTATAAGCTTAGTCAGGGGAGATTCAGGTTGGATGTTAGGGAGTATTTCTTCTCTGAAAGTGTTGTCAGCCACTGGAATAGGCTGCCCAGGGGGGGGGTTGAGTCCCTGTCCCTGGATGTATTTAAGAAAAGGGAGATGAACTATTTAAGGATATGGTTTAATGGGAGATTAGGGACGGTTGGACTGGATGATCTCTGAGGTCTTTTCCAACCTAGAAATCTATGAAATCTATGAAAATTAAGGATTCCCATACTAGATTGTTCTATTCAGTCATGTTTTGGCAACATAATTTCAAAATTACTGTGCTATGAGCATACAATTTTGGGTAAAACATCAGCAAGTTTAAACAAGAAAATCCTGAACAAAGCTCTGCTAGGGATCCTAGGTAGTCTTTTAAATTAGTATGGCTGAAATACTGCAAGAAACTGTTTATTTCCTACATACCAAAGCAACTTCACTGATTTATCTAATGAATTTTACTGTTTTCTTTCTCTCAATATAAGTGTCTAATTTTACTGCAGTTTGTCTAAGAAGTTCTTTGAAATAGAGGTTTCAATTTGTTGCATAAATAAATATGTCAATAAAGCTATAGCATTTAAAGGAGACTTAAAGCTATGTCATTATAAGGAGACCTAATTTTTCATTTTTCAAAAATTGTTATTTCAAAGCTGTACTAGGGTAGGTTACTGGGCTTTTCTAAAGAGAAATCTCTAGATGAAAATTCAAACAAAAACCCTTGGAAACAAGTTGTGATTGCCTTACCAGATAGTCTGCATAAAAGATACTTTGCTTTTGATTATGTTGGGTGAACTCTGTCATCCTGTGGTATCCCAGACAATTCTGTGCTGTGTAATTGTTTCCTTGTTGACTCAGTTGCTCCTGCTGTGATTCTGTTGGTCTGTACCACAAATGGTTAGCACAAGCTGGAAAATGAGAAGCTGTAGTGCTTAAATGCTGTCAGTTCATGACATTTGAAGTTGAAGTCTTCAGTAGTCGATGGAAAATGGGCATGTAATATTAAATTCTAGGTTCTGCATTTTGTTCTATTTTGCTAGATGTATGGTTAGATTCAGCCAACTTTCCATCTGGCACGACCTTCAAGTGTAATTGTGTAATGGGATAATGGTAGATCTCTGTTCATGTTGGACTGGCTACAAGAACACAAACTGTAATTAATAAGCAAATAAATACTTATGAAACAATGTTTCCAAGTGACAAGATGAGACACAATCTGATAGTGTGTTTTTGCTTAGCTTTACTTTCTGTGGAAGATAACATTGCCTCACATACTGGTTCTTAAGTAAACTATATAGCACTGTCCATCTTTAGGATTATACTTTGAAGATAATCAAATTTAATTTTGAAAGCATTGTTAGCTTGTATTTAATTATAATGCTCAACTAGTATAAGTAACCTTCAGCCGATCTTTTTTGAGGACGATATGAACGATTATGAAGACTAGATTCTACATTTAGTCATTTAAGGTGCACTTGACTGGCTTGCTAACTTGTTAAGGACTAACGTTTGCCTTGTAGTAATCCTAAGATCCGTAGGAATCTCCGAGATGTGAAAATGCATATTCTGTCTTTGACTGTTGATTTTCTTCTAAACACGAACAACTGCAAGGCTGTATTTCTGAGTCTGGAGATTGGCAATTTCTCTGTGTTGTCCTTTGCAGTACCAAAGTAAGATTTCAAAGCACGTCTTCATTTTCAAAGCTACTATTTAAGAACCTTTTGATCAGCAATGAAAACCTTAAATATTACGATAACTTAGGGGGAGCCTATGAGCCCCAAGAAATGCATGTAGTAGAGATGATGAGCAGAAGGAACTTAAAGAGCAGAAGAATGGGCATTATCTTCCTTGCTCCTGCCCTCTATGTTTCAGTTGCTGTATGTCTACCCCTCTCAGTGACGAGAAAGCTATAGAAATAGAAGATACAGACAGTATCTGTAGAATAGGAGATACAGTTAGTTTTTTTCTGCCTATCTACAGATAAAGATTAGAAGAGTTCTGTGTAAATTCTACCTGTAAACAGGCATCTAGTAGCCAAGCCTGTTAACAGTTGCAAGTCAAATCATCAGTCTGGTACCAGACATCCAAAGACGTAAGAAGGAACACTCCAAATTAAATGTATACAGAACTCCACGTTTTCTCTGCCTTTTACACAGCGCTGTTTTCTTCTAAGCATCTCCCTTTTTTGGTTGTTTGGGAAGCATTATTCATGATAGTTGTTCTCTAGCCTTTCTAATTTCTCAAATTAACTTCTTTCTTATCCCTGCTTTTTCTGAATCATTCCGGCTATGTTCCTGGTCCTGAATTTCAAGATTTGACTATTCAGACAACCTTCAACATACCACTTCCGAGTTCTGTTTGGTATCATAGGCTCTATTTGTACCTCTATTTGTACTAGCTCCATTTTGAAAGTGTGGTTTAATTGCCTTTTCTCTTTCTTGTTTCTTGTCTCCTTTTTGAGATAAACCCTACATGAAGTGATAACAATTCTTGCATCTCCTTGAAGTAGGATAACAGAAGGGTAGGAAGTGCAGAAAGCGGAATCTTTGAACAGGAACAAAGACAGGAAACTGGTTGCACAGGAGAGATGTAAACTCCCCACTGAGAGGGAGGGTGGTGCTTAGTTAAGGCAAGGACCTAGGACTTGACGAGTTCAGGAAATTTTCAATACAAAGCCTGCGTGTCCATCGTCTGCTCTTGTGTCTCAGAAGAGATGTGCCTATTGCATACCTAGGTGGTCCATGCAACAGATCTTCTGGGAAGCAGAGTTCTTAAGCAGTTAGTAAGTGTAAGGGCTGTGGGTTTCACTTTTCCAGAAGAGCAGCAGTAGAGAGTAGGAACCTCGGAAGTGTGCTGAGGAGGGGAGAGCAGCAAACACTGCTGGAGTCCATTTGGACCAAAGGAGTTGAGAAGCAGGTCAGTTAGCCTGCAGGCACCTGCAGCTGAGCTGCCTCATGCACATTGAGCCTGGGTACATCCATACACAACATCTTCTCATCTCTGGCGTGGAAATAACTCAATCATGTTGAGCTTCGAGCACTGTAACCTACTGAATGTCCAGCTCTGGCAGAGGTACTGGCTTCCATGAGATGAGTATAGTGCTTTAGTCCAAGGCCCATTCAGCAGACTTTTGTGCTGCTACTGCCAGGTAGATAATACCATAGCTATTATGGAAAACATTCTCAGAACAAAATGTTATCTCTAGGCAGCTGCTGCTCTTACAGAGTGTTTATACAAATGAGTGTTTGTTATATGTATTTAGTTAAAAGGCTGTAGCTGATGCAATGTAGGCTAACTGCAAGCAATAGAACTACTGAAGTTTTATTCTTCTGCTCTCTCCCCCTCAATCATAGATATCCTCATAAACTTTGAAGCAACTGTTAGTTATTATGCTCTGCTATGTTGGACTGCCTGCAAAATATTAGCTTCTCAAGGAACACGCTTAGTTATGGACAGCACTTGGTAATTTATCTAAGCTATATTATAGTTAAACTTTGCTTTTCTCCTTTCAGGTCTTGGGCTAGATTCAGCTGAACTTCCCAGTCAGATGAGTTTCTCCGACTGGCCCGAAATGAAGGAAAAATTTGCATCTGTGTTTACACAGAAGACACAAGCCGAGTGGTGCAGCATATTTGATGGTACCGATGCCTGTGTGACCCCTGTTTTATCCTTTGATGATGTTGCCTTCCATCAGCATAACAAACAAAGAGGTTCTTTTATCAAAAATGATGAGGAAGAGATAAGTCCTAGACCTGCTCCTCTTCTATCAAGAACCCCTGCTGTTCCGTCGTTTAAAAGGGATCCTTTTATAGGAGAACACACAGAAGAGATACTTCTAGAGTATGGATTTACTAAGCAAGAGATTGCTAAACTTTATTCTGATAAAGTAATAGAATTTGGTGATCCAAAAGCTAGTTTATAATCTCTAACTGTGCAGATCAGGCAAATTTCAGGCTGATACAGTAAGTTTATATGCATTAAAATTGAATTATATGACAAATAAATGTGCGCATTATGTTGCTTTCAAATATATATATATTTTTTTTTAATTATTGAAGTTTTAAATTTAATTGAAAACAGTGGGAGTTTAGGTACTTGTGAACCTGGATGATAGGCAGTCTAGAATGATACCAAAATTGTATTCTGAAGATCTACACAGTTTGCTTAGTAAGCCGCTGTAAATCCTCAAAATGTCTCTTTAAATATCATATCCTGTGAAATGTTTGTTTCTTTTAGTACTTAGTTACACTGTTGCTTTGTAATACAGGTTGTAATTACATGAAAGCAATACTTTTCATAAAATGTAGTTACATTCTTCCTCAACAAGTGATTGTGTTGTGTCCTCATAAATTAGAAGGGATTTTTTCTCTATCTTATGGTATTAATTCATTTGCCTAATCATGCCAAAACAATGATCGTAATAATGCTGTTTTCTTATGTGCTGCTGTAGAATTATTATAATAAAGTAATTCTGTTTCATAGCCTGACTACTACATTTTCTTAATGCAATCTCCTGATTATATTACATTTGGAATTTCAGTTTGCCTAGAAAATCACTTCAGAACAAAATTTGTTGTTTTAACATAGCTGCCAAATATTAATCCTTTCCTCTGTTTTTGAAAAAATGGTAGGCAACTTAGCTTCACAGGTTTTAAACAATGGTTATTCCATGGTGGTTTTCATTTCCTTCAGAATTAAACTCTCATTTGAAACAGTCTCCTTTAAGGCAAAAAACCCTCAATTTTTTTAAAAAATGTAGTTGTATAGCCTTAATACAGTTTTCTTAAGTCCAGCTTGTCACTGTTTACCTTGCTGAAAGTTAGTTTGTTGCCCTTATGGGGCAAAAACACTTCCAAAGCTACAGCTCATTTTACATGTGTCATGCCCAAAATGTCAGCATTATTACTATGAAAAAACTTTTACATTCTGCCACATAAACACCTGCCTGGAAGCAAGAATTATCTAGTAGGTCCTGACAAATTAGATAAACAGCCGGCAAAACCATCTTAAGTTTCCAGCTTATGACTCCAGATAATGACTCTAATGTAAATTACTGACTATTATACACGTTTACAGTAAGACTTAAATTTGCTTAGCCCAGATGCATCTGATCATGTTGGCGAACAATAAATGTTGTCAAGTGTAATCTCCAGTGCGCTTCAGCGATTTTTGGGGTCAAAACTTAAGTCAATGTAAAGACTCATGTTACCTTCAGCATAGGTTGGATCAGCCGCCTCACTCGGGTGGCCAACCTGAAAGGTACAGTTTGGGCATGTCGCTACAGATCTCTTTTAAGGTCTCCTCTTGTCAGGTAAGACACTTAAAAATAAACCCACCCTAAGTGGCCCTGATATCCTTTGTTTTTCGGAAACCGAGAAAGTAATCAGTTGTATTGAGGGTGGCACACAGCAGCCAAAAAAAATATTCACCATTTGCTGTTTGACAGACATCTGTCAAGCTTTTTATCGGCCGCTAACACTCCAGGACAATAGGTAGGTTCACTGACTTATCTTCATGAAGTGTATTGAGATCCTTGTCCGCATCTGTATTATAGATTGTTTTCCCCTCTGTTTGATCAACAGGAAATCGACCCTCTCTGGGGCCCGTGTTTACTGAAGGGGAAGATGTGGGCTCAGGTTTCTGGATATCTCTGCTGTCTTGCAGCGACAAGAGGAATGGCTTTGTGTCAGGCTAACTCCGTGCCTCGCCCATGTGATGCATGTTCCCGTTATGTGTGTGTTTCGTGCTTTAACAGTAGTTCTTTAGTTGTGGATAGCTGGGAGCTTTGCAGACACCCAAGAGCTCAGATCTGCTAATGCTAACACACGCTTCCCCGCCCCCTTCCTTGCATAACTTGTGATCGCAGAGCCATGAAAGTATGTGAGTCCCTCCCCCAGCACAGACCGATACCACCCGGCATATGATCTAGGCTCCATGTCAGCCAGGGCGGGCAGCACCGACTTGCCGGGGCGCTGCGCATAGCCAGAGCCATGACCTTAATGAAAGAGAGTTTCCACGGGACTCTTCCTCCTGAGGTGGCCAAAGCCAACATGGACAGCACTAGAGAGAAGGAGGAGGCTTTGCTGCAATCTGTGATGAGGACTGGAGCAGCGGCGCCAAGGAAGCGAGCGGTGGGAAGGCTGGTCATGCACAGCATGGCGATGTTCGGCCGGGAGTTCTGCTATGCCGTGGAGGCCGCCTTTGTCACGCCGGTGCTGCTCAGTGTAGGGCTGCCCAAGAACCTCTACAGCCTAGTGTGGCTCATCAGCCCTATCCTGGGCTTCGTGCTGCAGCCTGTGGTAGGTTCCGCCAGTGATCACTGCACCTGTAGCTGGGGCAAGAGGCGACCTTACATTCTGGGTCTGGGCATCATAATGCTGTTAGGCATGGCTTTGTACCTCAATGGGGACGTGATGATCTCAGGTGAGTGAGGGGCATGCGCTGTGCTGACAGACAAAACTCACCCTAGCCTTTTGAATCAGAAAAAAAGGAGGGGTTCCTTTATTCCCTGCTCAAATGGGTTGTTAAAATCGGGTGTGATGTTACTCAGCTGCACTGAAGGAGCTGGGGAACGCTGCAGTCTGCACACGGGTGCAATGTTTCTGCTGCATGTTGTGTACCCTGTGCATAGTGTTCTGTAGTTTGTGCGTGGGATTAACAGCATGTTGTATGTTGGTGTGGTTGCCTGAACCAGTTCGTACAAGTAAAGCAATGCTCAGGCCCAGAGAAGTTTTTAAGAACTAAAATCTACCTTGTTAAGTTAAAAGATCAGTATTGTTTGTGTGATGCAATACTCATCCAAACTGAATATCTGTTAACCCCTATTTTAGATGCATTAGCATTCAAAATACGTATCTTTAATTCCTGCAGCATTGGCTTGTCTCAGGAATGCATTGTGCTGCTGAATAATAGGAATCAGCAACTCCTTGGAAACGGTGTTGCATCTGGAATGTGTGAAATCATATAGTAGTGACATCACTAGACACTGTTATATTTCAGCTTGAGGTGTAACTTCCTAAAGTCTTGATGGAAAGTTGTTTTTGTTATTATGAATTGGCAGAGGGGGGGAGGTGTGCATTTTTATGGATTGATTTATTCTCTCTTCCTGTATGTTGTTGGTGTGGAATATACTTGTGTTCATTTGCCCACAAAGAGATGTTACAGTTAACTCTTGATTATCTAAAACAATGGAAGAGTGGGACAAATAGGATAAAGAAAAGTACTATGAAAAGCATGTGTGCTAGGCTACCAGAGCATGCCATGGAGGTGCAAAGGAGTAAGGCTAGAGATGCTCTCGATTGTGGAGCTTGGAGTACCCTGAGTTTGTGCTGACTTAAGGCAGTAAGTCAGCATGGCACAGCTCAGTGCTACAGAGACTCGGTTATCCTGTCTCTGGTGTGATTATGGCATCACTGCTCCCTCTTGCATAACTAAGCATTGGGTAGATTTGGAGATAACGGGAAAGATAAAATGTGGTTTTGCAGAACATGGCACTGCTGCTGTCCGAATGAGGGTGTTTTTCTTTTGTAGCTTTCATCAGTGAGAGAGACAAGCGGCGGACGTGGGCAATAGTCATTACCATGCTGGGAGTGGTGCTTTTTGATTTTGCAGCTGATTTTATTGATGGCCCCATCAAAGCGTATTTATTTGATGTCTGCTCTCATGAGGATAAAGAGAAGGGTCTGCATTACCACGCCCTCCTTACAGGTACTCAGATCCCTTCTTTTCCTCCCTGCCTCTCGACGGAGGGGAAGGTAATTGCATGGATTTTATTCTCACTGTGTTTCTAATCTTGAATGAACTGATCATGTGATCCTGCACTTCAGTCACGAGTCTTTTGTTGCTGGGTTTTCACTACTCCAGAGAACAGCAGCTTGTGATTGCTGCTTCAAGAGTTCTGCTCCAGAAGGCTGCAGGCATAAACATTTATAGCAACATAGCCATGATTTAAGTAAGAGTAGTTAATTATTTTAAAAAGTGAAGTAGTGTTTATTCATCTTGTTCTCTTTTTTTTCAAGTTTTTGGTGAAGCAAAAATTAAGGGATGTAACTTGTTTCCTTGCTATACCTTGTTAAAAAAAAAAAAAAAAATTCGACTCAGCATGTGATACAAAGCAAGAACTGCACAAACCAGTATAGTTGATTTCCGTTCTTCAGCAGTGCTCCGGTATATGCTGCTTTCCTGTATAGAAATAGAAGTTCTGTGTTAAAATTCAGAGCTTCATATCTTCCACAAAATAAGTCCAAGTGGTTCAGTCTAGGCTTTTGCAAATTAAGTAAGAGCTTCATTTGCCTTTATAGATGTTTGTAATGTTGCTGAGTTACAGAAGGAAACCTTCTGTACAGAAGGAAATGTTTACTATGTGAGCCCCGTGTTGAGAAAACGCACAGGAAAGACACATAAGGCTGTGTACCTGTAACGTGACTCAGGAGAAGCTTCCAGCCATGTCTGAGAGCAGTCATCATGAAAGGACTAAGCAAAAAGTAGGCTAGATGACAAATCTTACCATCTGTGTTGATGCAGATTTTTGTGGCTACTGAGCCATACCAAGAGCAGATGCACGCAGATTCAGTGGCAGTTACTCTAGTTGAGGAGGAGAGGTGTAGTAGCTATTGACAACAGGCTGATTTTGGACATACGAAATAGCTGTGTCTGGGATCACAGATTTTAAGGGAATCTGAAAGCCACATGGGAATGAAGTCAGTATTGTCCATTAGAAACTGACAGATAAAATTTCGGACAATCACTTGTTCGGACAGAGAGAGGAGTGAGTCTCTATGTATATTCTTGCCTTCAGCAGCACTCTGGTTGCAATTTTTCCTTGGATGATGCTGGAAAGGCTTGATTTCTAAATTTGGAGCTACAGATTTAGCTGATTCATTTGTGTACTGAACTGTGAAAAGCAATATGGGAAAAATCACATCAAGTAATCCTGAAACAGACTGGATTATTTGGTCTAGCACCCTGTGCCCTTTACAGCAAGATCATCGGTATCTTCACCCTTCCTACTGGGTAATTACCTAGCCTTTTTTTGAAATCCTCCCTCGATAGATGTTCTTCAGCCCTGCCAAGGCAGCCTTTTCCATCACTTCGCTGGCCTTGTTGTTAGATGGTTTTCCCTAAAATCTGATCTTGATATCCATTCCCTACAATTTTCATTTATCATTCCTTGTTCTATCCCTATTAGACACAGACAGCAATCTTCCCATTTTTTTTCTAGCTTCTGTTTTAGATACTGAGTTATTTTGTTTCCCCTGTTTGGTTCCTTTATTTTATACTAAATCTCTCCAAGATTTTGCCCTCCAGTTTGTCTTCAGTTTAAGGTTTATGCATGAAACTTGATAGCTTTGCAGTTATGAAATTTATGACCTCTGAGACAAGTAAAAGGAAGAGTGCATATATCCAACACGCAACACTCAAACTGCATTCCTACATTGTGATTACTTTTGGTCAAAGCAGTATGCAAAGATGACCTCCAACATCAGACATTCACTTGGTGCGAACATTTAGTGTAGGTTTTCTTCAAAAAGTTATTAACGGCTTAATTGTTTTTCATGAGTACAAGCAAGGATACAGTCCTCTGTAAAATGCAGTAGGACACAATGAAGGAGGGCCATAATCAGACTCAAAGAGGGAAACAAATACAGAAAGCCCAGAATTAAATCAAAATCCTGTGTTTGGTAGGTGAAGCAAATGTAGGTCCTATTACCTCTGTTACTCTTTGTTAGATGGAATGGTTCTGTCATACATACATTGTCTTCAGTTCTCCTGAGCAGAAGACTAGAAATACTTCCAATTCCTTCAAATGCTTCTGTCCTGCTTGACTCCCACGTCCCACAGAGCCACCTGGTTAGCAAGATGTCTGAACTCTACTTTCCCTGCCAGAGCTCTGTACTGTATATAACAGTATGTACTTTCTTCCTCTTCCGGAACTGTATGCACTAATAACAAAAGTAAGAAGTTTTTGAAAAACTGGACTGAACACTGGTTTTGTTAACTTCAAGACAGGAGGTAGTATTCTCATTTTATCTTTTATTCAAACTTTTCTGAGAAAATCAGTGAGCCGAATTACACATTTGTGTTTGATCATTTTTATTTTCTTTTCCAAGTGGTGAGGTACTTGGATTTTGATAACTACAAAACAATGCTTTTAGTTTTATTTCCTTTTTTTTTTTTTTAATCTCACATGGAGACAGTATTTCTGTCTAGAATCAGCTACATAAAATACGTTTTACAAAGTCAAAATGATAGTCTCGTTATAATTAAAAAAATGTTTGTTTGTTCTGTAAAGTTAAAAAGCCCATAAATTTCAGTAGGATTTTATTTTGCATTACTGTTTCAAAGAAAATAAGCCTCAAAGACTCAAGAAAAGAGGTGGAGGCCCATGTTGCTAGATATTCAGGCGTTTTTTTGACACCTCTGTCCACCAGAGCTGAGGAGATTTTTCAAGAGATGTTTTGGTAACTGCTCATGTATGTGATTAGCTCAGTATTCCTATTTCTTGTAAGTAGTATCTGGAGAGTGACTATTCAGTCATTTCTAGAGGACATCACATTTTGAGGGTATTGTGTACTGTTTGTTTATTTTATCAATGCCAGTAGATCTTTTTTCTCGTTTCTTTCCCACCCCTGTAGGTTTAGGAGGAGCCCTGGGTTACCTGACAGGTGCTATGGATTGGGGTCAACTTGTACTAGGATATTCCCTGGCATCGGAGTTCCAGGTGATTTTCTTCTTCGCAGCCTTGGTTTTCCTAACCTGCCTTACTGTACATCTGCACAGTATTCCTGAAGTCCCACTCAGATATGAAAATGAAGAGACAAAGTTCTTGTTGGAAGTGACTGAATCCTATAAATATAGCTCCATAGAGGAGGAAATCAAGAATAGTTACTTAAAATCAACATGTACTGAAATAAAGGCTGCAGCTGAACCAGGGAAATACGCTGTTACGTCGTGTACAGAGGTAAGTGCCGTGACAATTTTGTAACCCACGTCATTCCATCCTTGGAGACCCTTTAATTAGCTGATTCTTATTATTTGGAATGCAGCCCTTTCATACACACAGAAAAATAATCCTCCACTAGGATATGGGGTCAGCAGAAAGCCTGGTTGCTTTTCTCTTTTTTAATTTATAAAGTATTTCCAGCAAGAGCGATGAGATGGGCTAGTCCTGATGCTTTGAATAGTTGGCAGGGATGAGGGAGAACAAGGTTCAGGTTTCTGGTCTGTATCAGTCTCCTAATATCCGCCTCATGTGAATTTTGTCAGGAGGATATACTTTGTCCTTTAGCCTTGACAGAATTAACATCACATGGTGGACAAGTACTACAAACTGTTAATCTTTGATGCACATCTCTAACTCCCATTGTAGTCTGCACACTTCCATACACAGTACATATGAAGAGTTTGCTCCCTGATCTGGTAAACATTCCAGTTATGCTGCTGCTCAACGTTTCATTGAGGATTTATTGACAGTACCGACGTGTTTAAAATTGCTACTTCTACAACAATGCTACCTTGCTTCCTGGGTTTTATTTTTATTTTGAAGTGATGTTGTTGCTATGTCTTTGGCAGAACTTTTAAGTGAGAGAGAAATAGCGAGTACTTTCAAATCATCACTGTTGTTTTGTTTCTGCTGCATTTTTATGAGAGAGAACTTCAATCTAAGGCAATTAGGAAAAGGTGAATCTACTTGAAAAATATCTGGAGAGCACATTTTGAGAATGGACTTGGGAACAGATAATAGTTTTTACTGCTTTGTTGATGACTTTTAGTGCTAGGAATCCTCGCTGCACTCTCACAGTACCCTGGGTAAGCAAAGGCCAATGTGTGAGTCCGGCTCCAGTGTAACAGTAAGCGATGAAACAGTTGCTTGTTGTTTTAATTTCACTTCTGTTCTCTCGGTGCCATGTATATCTATCCCTGATACAAGTCTTGATAAATTGGGTATAAAGTCCTGACGCTCACTGCGTTAGCGGTCTGTCTCTTGTGGCACATGTTTTCTGAGTTCATTCATTACTGTAATTGTTTCCTTGAAGAAATGGTTTGGCTTCCTGTTTTCCTGTGTCTCTTTATTGCTCCAGGCATCATGGCCCTCTATCTTCTAAATTAAGGACTGTGCTCTTACATGCTAATAGCTACCATGATTATTAATGAGATTTGACCTGTTACAGTATGAGCAGACATCCAAAGTGATTCGTCTTTCGTTCTTTAGTTTGGTGCAAAATTACTCAGGATCTACTGCCATGAACCCCCAGTTATATTGATTCCATTGTATCCTTATGAATCATCTTAGGCCTTGAGTTATAGTGATTTTACAGAGAAAACGGGGAGGTATTGTGAGCTTTGGAAGGATAAGGCACTTAAACAGAGCCAAACTTCAGCACATCATTTAAACCAGTGTGGGGTTTGTGTGTTGGTGTGTATTAAATGTGTGCATTAAACATTTCTGTTTCCATTTCCACTCTCTAAAGTATCTAAATAGAAAGCAAATGTTTCTATCTAGCTGCCAAATTATTGCTCGTAGTTACAGCAGTGTCCTTTGTAGTTCCCTGACCTTTCATTAACACTTTGATTGGAAAGGCTGTTCTAACTAGGTGGCAGAATTGAAGAAATTAAATAAGCCAAGTAAAATGATAGTAATTATCCTTGAGATAACACTAATGAGATAATGTGGATTTTTTGTTGTTGTTGTTTTTTGTAACTGTAGAAAAATAGAAAGCTTACCCTGTTTGAAAGAGATAGTGATGCCAAGAGAAATTCCAAGGGATTTGGACAATATGCAGTTCAAGGTGAAAGTTGGCAACTTGAATTTTGGCATTCCTATGAGGATTAAAAGCCTCCCACTGGAGGAAAGTATTTTCCAACTTTATATGTGGTGATTATTCACAGAGGAGCTTGCAGCATAACCTAGTTCAAATGAAAGCAGAATTGTGAAAAGTAAGCAGAGCACTGAAGGAAGTAAAAAATGTCATTATCTTCCAGCAAATTGAAGGCTAAATTCAGCTTCCCAGCAATGAACGTAACTTCTACAGTTCTTCCACATTTTGTGACCATACAGCTTCCCTTATCATCTCTCCCGATACTGTTGCCTCCAAACATCACTAGAGAAAATTGGAAGCGTTCCATCACACACAGATAAAATATCTTTTTTTTCTTCAGAAGCAAAGAGCCATGTAGGAGCTTCAAAGCAGTAAGAATTTTATGTTGTGAATGCCTGACATGTAGGACACACCTACAGTACTAAAAACAATTTGAGTGATACAAGTGATCTGATAAATGTGACTGCAAAAGAAACTGAGAGAGGGTTTTGGGGCACAGGGCTCAGACAAGAAGGAGGGAGATAAGGGAGGGTGAGAAATTTTGTTTTTCCCCATTGGTGAGATTTGTTAACCAGCACCAGTAGCATTTTGATTTTGAAATGAATTATGTCTCCCATGGGATGAAGAATTCAGGTCCTGGAGCTCCTGTTCTCTGAGTGGTAGGATTTTGAGGGGTGCTGCATCTGCCGTGATGTATCTCAGTCTCTCCCTGCTTCACAGAGGGGAGGACAGTATGTAGTGGAAATCTTATGATATGCCAGAAGAAGTGAAGTTTTCTAGGGAATTTAGCACCTAGAAGGGAATGGCAATGAGGTCTCAAAAGTGCTGTATTCCACAACAGATACATTTTAATCCTCAGGAAGTATTCTGAATTTCATTTTTTCCATGGCAGCTTTAAATTTCCAATGTAAAGCTGATTGTCTCCATAAAGAAATTATTTTTATTTCTGTTTGGGGGTTTTTTGAAACTCCACTGAGTCTGTTCTGGCAGAAAATTTTCACTTGGTTCTACAAGTATATAATAATCCTACTGATTATAACAGCAAGAAATGTTACATGCTTGCTGATACACTCCAGCTCTCCCAGAGTCTCTGTGAATCTTTCAGATGACTTTATTAGGCAATGGCTCTACAAACCAAATATATCTTGAAGTACATTCAGTACCCAAGCAACAGTTCCCAGCAAAAAATAAAAAAAATAGAGGTTTAGCAATTAAAAGATGCTGAGGCCTTCTTCATTTGCTGCCAGCTATTTTATTAGCCTTCAGGGCAATAATACAGCATTATTGTTAAATACTTGCTTTTAGGATCAAAGGCGGATGACCCTTAAATCACTCTTGAAGACACTTTTAAGCATGCCATCCCACTATCGCTGTCTGTGTGTGAGCCACCTCTTTGGATGGATGGCTTTCCTGTCCAACATGCTCTTCTTCACGGATTTCATGGGACAGGTAAAAAAGCATAAAATCCTCTTGCTTTTCTTTCCTCCTAGCACCTCCTCCTCTACCAAAAAGAAATGAGTGTTATCATCCTGAAGAAGTGACAGTGGTGGCAGAGCCAGTAATATCTGGATGGCTCAACAAGAGTTTTGTCAAACAGCTAATGGATCTCAGGCCCTTATTTTGAGCTGGTCTGTTGGATCTTTGGGGAAAATCTTTTGGTATTTGTAAGGCTATTTGTGTCTATTTAACTGTTCCAAATGAAGCTCTCAGAGTTGTTCCAAATACATCCATTCTCTGCTTTGGCTTTGGAACTGCTCCAAGACGGGCAGGTTTCCTAACGAGAGTAGTGCTGATGTTGCGTGGATGTACCTGGCCTTGTCCTGGTGCATGGGCACTGTCACACAACGCTGTCCGTCTCCGCTGCAGCCTCCCTGGCCCCAAGCTCAGCAGCTCTTTGCACACACTGACATACTTGGTAGCTGAAAGCTCTTATCTCCTTGAATTTGGCTGTCCCTGCTATACCTTTCCCTGAGTCTTCTCTGCCAGAAACTATTTGCCTTTGTGATACCAAGTGCTCACTTTTCCATGCCATTTCCAGGAAGTAAAACTATACGTCCCTGCCAGTGATTCTCATCTATATGATCCTGCCTACCTCCTTTCTTCCAGGATACAAATATGTTCCTGGCACAAATCCTCTTATTGCCACATCCTTTCTTCTGTGGTTTCCACCCAATATTCCCATTTCTTTGCCTTCTTTTTTTGTCTCTGTAGATGAAAGGGAGGGGTATTTTTTCCCCCCGCAGTATACATGAGCAGCTGAAAGAAAAGAATTTTTCTTGCCTAGATAAGAAATTGAATAAGACAATTACTGGGTGGAAAACTGAGTGTGTTGGGGGAATCCTGAAAGAGAA